AAGTGTTTGTGCAGAGATGGACAGGAGCTGAAGTAAGGAGGGCAGGCTGCCACTGACATTTTTTTACACGACATAACTGTCGTCTTTGCTTTTCCTCCTCTTTTTCCAACCCCAGCATTCCTGTCTGAAATAAGAGTTTTACTCACAGAATCACAGAATCGCTCAGGTTAGAAAAGACCTTCAAGACCATTGAGACCAACCACGACCTAACCATACTACCCTAACAACCCTCTGCTAAATCATGTCCCTGAGCACCACATCCAAATGGTTTTTAAACACATCCAGGGATGGTGACTCAACCACCTCCCTGGGGAGCCTATTCCAGTGCTTCACAACTGAGCACTTTCCTTTCTGTAAAGAAGTTTTTCCTGATATCCAACCTAAACTTCCCTTGGCACAACTTGAGGCCATTTCCCCTCATCCTGTCACCTGTCACCAGTGAGAAGAAACCAACCCCACTCTCACTGTAAGCACGTTTCAGGTATTGAAAGAGAGCAGCAAGGTCTCCCTTCAGCCTCCTCTTCTGCAGACCAAACAGCCCCAGTTCCTTCAGTCTCTCCTCATAGGGCATATTCTCCCTTCACCACCCTGTTGCCCTTCTTTGGATCTGCTCCAGCACCTTCCACGTCCTTTCTGTACTGATGTGCCTAAAACTGAACACAGCACTCGAGGTAAGGCCTCACCAATGCCGAGTACACGGGCAGCATGACTTCCCTAGTGCTGCTCACCACACCGTTCCTGGTACAATACAGGGTGTCAGGATTCCGGCTTCCCTCCTGGATTGCCCCTTTTATTGTCACCGGGGTCCCGCCAGGACACGCCATGTCCCGCACAGCGCAGCACGCGGCTCGTGTCCTTCCTGCTGCTGCCCTCCTGCGTCCCGGAGCCGCCATGGCGCCGCGCGGCGGGAGCAGCGGTCCGGCTTCTTCCTCAGGTTTGATTTCAGTTCGCTGGAGTAAGCAGCGCATCGCTGACATCAACCTCGGCTAAGAGAAGCCGAAGGGGTTCTCGGCTGCCTTATCGAAGATGTTCACCGTGCAATCTTCTTCGTTTGAAAGATAGCCGTACCGGATGAGGGACGTGGCTAGTGGGCGTGGTGGTGATGGGCTGACAGTTGCACTAGATGCTCTTAGAGGTCTTAATAATTCCATGACTCTATCATTCTGTTATTTGTCCTTTTTCTGCTTTAGGGCATATTGCAGAAGGCAACATTATTCGGATTTTTTCTTTTTTGCTTAGATCAATTATAAGGAATAACCTCATGCATCAGTACAGGTTAGAGGGTGGTTTGCTGGAGAGGAGCTCTGTGGAAATGGGCTTGGGGGTCCTGGTGGACAACAGATTGGCCATAAGCCAGCAGTGTGCTCCACTGGCTAAGAAGACCAGTGGGATCCTGGGGTGCATTAAAAGGAGTGTGGCCAGCAGGTCAAGGGAGGTGATTCTGCCCTTCTGCTCTGCCCTCGTGAGGCCACATCTGGAATACTGTGTCCAGCTCTGGGATCCCCAGTTCCAAAAAGACAGGAAGTCCAGCAGAGGGTGACAAAGATGATTAAGGGTCTGGAGCATCTCCCTTATGAGGAAAGGCTGAGAAATCTGGGTCTGTTCAGCCTGAGGAAAAGAAGACAGGGGGAATCTGGTTAATATTTATAAATATCTAAAGGGAGGTGGGAAGCGAATGGATGAGGCCAGGCTCTTCTCAGCACTATGTATTGATAGGATAAGGAGCAATGACCTAAAACTCAAACATGGGAAGTTCCATACTGACATGCAGAAGAACTTCTTTATGGTAAGGGTGATGGAGCACTGGAACAGGTTGCCCAGAGAGGTTGTGGAGTCTCCTTCTATGGAGATATTCGAGACCCATCTGGATCCCTACCTGTGTGACCTATTGTAGGGAACCTGCTTTAGCAGGGGAGTTGGACTTGATTATCTCTTGAGAACTTTCCTAGCCCCACAGTTCTGTGATTCTCTGATATGTACCTTCAACAAATTCACTGTTTGGCTCAGAATAATCCCATATACAAATGGCAGAAGACAAAAGCAGTCTTTTTCATTTCCTATGGGTTTTCATGGGTGTGTTCATGTTGCTACATAGGTATTCTGCTTAATGATAAACAGTGTCCTTCAGATGAGACACAAAGCAATGTCATAGGTTTGGGTTGTATTTATTTTGGGAGCATTTTGCAGAAAGAAGAAACACATTGATTTATAGACCTTTACACATTGGCATAACGGACACCATAAATCTGTGCAAGTCCTACAGGTATATTTTGGATAATTTAGGGGAAAAAAAAGCTTTCCCTAAGTGAATATTTCATTCATACTGTTTCATTTGTTTTGAAGGAAAATGATGGCATAGTCATTTCTGAAATACAGAATATATCTGGAATACAGAAAAATAAGTAATTTTTGCTGTCTGCTCTCAACAGATCAAGGATAGCATGTAGCTGTAAAGGACTGAGTTGGAAATTTAACATTTCTTCCATGTTCCCCTCTCTGGATGCAGGGAGAACTCATCTAGAGGTGAGACATGGCAGTAGCACATTTTATGGCTTGGGCTCAGCAATACCACAGCAGCCTCATTTGCTGCTGAGGTGGGGACCTTTGACAAGGTGCTATGAGCTTTGACAAGGGGTCAGGGGAGAGACTTGCTCTTCCCATTCTGCACAACAGGAACAGGTCATAATCCCTCACAGGCTGCTGTGAACTTGGTTATGTTTTTCCTTACAAAATAATGGCCAAACTCTGCTTTGAGTAGGTGAATAACGTATCCTATATTAAGTCTCCTTTTATAGCTTATGACTCTATACAAAGCAATTTCCTTATGCTAAGCAAAGCAATGCTCTTCTTTTCTTCAGCAACAGCACTAATCACACGAAAAAAAAGAAATCTGACACCATTAAAGATTTAAGTATTTAAAGATTTTAAATAAATTTTAAATTTTAAATAAATTTTAAATAAATAAATTTTAAATGATTTACAGCCATCAACATTTCATGCTTGCTAGACAGAAGTTCTGCATCTGTGATCCCTCAATCTTTTGCCTTCTGCTTCACACCATTAACGAGATGAAATATAAGTTGCATGCTCTAGGGATCTACTTATTCCATAAGAACTTTTGCACCACTGTACTTACACTGGTAAATTACCAGCCAGGTCGTCATTGAGAGGTAACATTATATCCTACTACTGGGCCAAAGACAGACATCACCACTTTGAATAAACTTCTCCCCTGAAGGAAATGATGCTGATACTTAGCTTTTGAATAGTGTTGTGAGGATTTGAGATAAGGAAGGCTAATGTGAATTTGGAGCTAAGAAGAGATAATGTAGATTTGTATAATAGATTTATATAGGGTAAGTACAGTGAGTTATATTAATTATAATTTACAATTCAGCGCATCTTTTTGGATAAGGGCTTCAGCAAATTTGAGGCAGCCAGGACTTGTTGATACATTGGAATACCAACAGAAAGGCCACCTACTCTCCCTGTCCCTCACCCCCAGCCGCCCTCCCCTGACGCAGCTCCATGCCGTTCCCTGCCGCTGTCACACAGAGCAGAGCTCAGCGCTGCCCCTCGGCTCCCTGTGAGGAGCTGCAGCCATCAGGCCTCCCTCAGCTCCTTGCTCTGCGCTGAGCAAACCCAGGGACCTCAGCTGCTCCTCACACACCTTGCCCTCCAGATCGTCTACCATCTTTGTAGCCCTTCTTTGGACACTCTGTAACAGCTTTATGTTCTTCTTGTATTCTGGTGCCCAAAATTGCATGCAGGTCACGTTCTTGTTCAGCAGTCTCATCAAGCTGTCTTGGACATCCACAGAATGGCAAATCATGCTTTGAAGAAAACTCTTGTCAAAACTCAGGGAACACTTTTCAATACATCAGAACCTCTCAAAAGGTACAACTTAATTGCCTTTTAGAGTTGTGACTAATTTTTTCCCCTCAAAACTTAGATGCTTTTATTTCCTCTGATGTTACTCATACAATGAAAAGGAAAATATGCCAGATTGCTCATCACGCATCCATTCTGTTATCTTTTCTTGTAAGGCATTTGAATGATGAAAAATGACTGTGAAATGCTTTGTTAAAAGGAAAGGTTTTTTTCCTTGTGAAAGAAATGAAAAATACAGGATACAAGTGGTACCAGCGTCATCCTGCGTAGCTCACCATGACCACGGTTTGACAGCCAGCGAATGACAAACATGCCAATTAGCTGGTATGGAAGAGGTGATCAGCATGGGGCTTGGAATACAAAGGATATTTAAACTGCAGCCAGGGGTTAGCCTGATAGAAAGACAGTCCCAGAGATACAAACGGACTTGACAGCAAAATTAATTCATTCTATGTGTCAACAGTTTTATTTGAAGCATACAATGAAAAATACTGACATGCTGTTTTATTCCACTTAACAACTGCTGCACCACACATTTTAATTTTTAAGTAGTAACATTCTCACATTACATATATAGATTTTTCTGTTGAAATATGTTCCCATGTGTTATCACAGTTCATCCTTACAGTGTATAATTAGAAAACCTATTTGTATAGCAGTATGTCTAACACTTATAAGCCAGGGAAATGTTTTACACAAATAAATTATCTTTTTTAACTTGTTGACAACAAAACTGCCAAGGCAGCAGCCAGTGTAACACCCAGTGTATCTAAAAGTGTGTGCTCCCATTCTTACCAACTGAGATTTATGATGTATTCCTTGTAAATTTACTGTCTAGATTTTTACTGAAAATTTAATTTCCATTGAGAAACCAATGAACACACTAGTATTTTGCATGGCAAAACGCATCTGATGTTATCTGAATCTCTCACTCAAGCTGTACAGAATTGCATGTATTTTCATTTGTCTTTTTGGGAACTACTGGGAATAGAGCTCTTAGCAGTGCCACATTTTAAAAATAAGCACCTGTGACTCATTGTTCACCCTTCTTTTTCCAACAGGCATTCCAGATTATGACCTTTTCTTTACTACAGCCACTAGCAAAGAGGTTTTCTTTGTTTTGCTTTTTAATTAGATTTGCAGATGAGCTTTTATGAACTGTATGCATCTGTGCACCATAAGCATCTGCTTTGGTTGCTTGTGAGAGAACCACTCAATAATGGACAAAAAAAAAAAAATATATATATATATATATATATAAATAAAAAGGGACAAGATTCTCCTCCTGCATGGAGGAATCAGAGTACAAATCTGTTCATGAAAATATTTTTGATTAATTATACAAAGCAGATCTTTGACAAAAGGATGAGAAGATTCATAGCAAAAATGCCAGGAAAGTGTTGAAGGACTATTGGCTTCAGCTGCATTCTCCAAGCAGGTAGATTCAGAGCTTGAAAAATACTTCCTGGCTTGGGTAAGCCCAGGTTACACTAAGTTGAAAATTCTATTCCACTGAGAATGGAAATTAACAGTCAATAGAAAACTGAAACTTGGTTTTCATAAGAAATGTTGGCCAATTTCAGCTGTGTAACAAAAGCTGCTTGTGGAAAGGTGTGTTGAAGCAGATATTTCCTTTCAGCATGTATTTCTCACACATCCTTGAGAAATGGCATCAAAATCTTAATCTCCTGACTATGCTAAGGGGCTCCATCTTCTGCTTTCCACTGTCTGGATCTTCTTGCATCTCCAGTCCTGTGTGTTGCACAAAAAAATGCAAAGCCTACACAGGATTTCACTGGGGAAATCATGTCTTATGTATGGTCAATGTAGGTATTTGAATGGTAATATAGAATGTTGACCTGATACCTCCATGTTGGCCTTTATTATGTATTAATTCTTATGTACTCATGCATTTAGTTCTTGTAATTTACATTTCCAAACATTAATGCATGAGAATATATATAATACATATATTATATATATATATATATATACACATACATAAGAGGCCCCACTGTATTCAAAATGGGATATGTACTCATACAACTATATTTATGATTGCCAGGTTTGCAGCTACAAACTTATTTTTGTTACTATGGAAAAAATCCCCCCAAACCCATCATGGGTTTTGAAAGAGTTAAAGCTGTAGGATCAGTGAATCTAGGCTTAAGAATAATATAAAGGATGGCCATCAGTCATTTAATTAATCACGTACTTTTTCCTGCTAGAACTGCCATTTAAAAATCTCAACACGCAACACTTTTTAACACCTTGTATTTTTGGTTGATGCTAATTTTCACCACTCCCCTCTCTGACCAGCTAGAAGTTGGCACCCAAGCTTAATGGACTCTTGACTCATCCACAGATGATCTTACAGGTTAACTTCAGGAATGGTCATGGTCTCATCGTGGTTAAGAACTATGCACAAAATCTCCCTTTCAGCATTGCTTTTCAACAGTAAGCTCCTCACTCATAACCTTACAACACACTCTTCCATACACCTGTAGAAGCATTATTAAACAAGATAACTAAATGTAATCAAATTGTTTAAATCACAGACTGAAGAGAGATCATTTTCAGATTTCAATTCCTTGGAAGCACGGATGTTGTAGACTATATATGCATGGGCACAAGGAATTTTGAAGACAACATTATTATTTCTTTAAATATTACTGTAGCATTAAAGAAGATCCCTGTAGTGTTTTAGCAACCTGTGTCTCGTATAGTTGGAAGTTCTACCATACTTAATATCACTGTATACAGTACTTCCTAAACTGCATTTAAGATTTTCTTTTTGGGATACACAATATTTCAAATTCAACTGAGATTTTCTTATTAAATATTTGGAGATTGAAAATATGGTACTGAACAATGAAAGAACACCGTCCCATAACACGTAACATACAAACCACTTCTTACAGTTCTAACAAAATGAGATTGTACATAAAAATGTCACAATTAGCTCAGTACGTTGGTATGATCAGAAAAATATTAAGTTCAGCTGATACTGTCACATACTAAGGACCAAATCCTGGCTCAATGTGCAGTTGAAGCCTAAACAGATGTTTACAGAAAACAATGAAAACACAAAGCCACACTGAAGTGCCATAATGACGACAATGTCTGTTATTCATCTACCTAAGATTCTTTGCCTATGGTATGTACCTGGTTTGTGCAGTGGAAGAAACACGTGGCCAGTGGTGCTTGACTCCTGTCCTAGGACACTTCCCTATAGATTTACTGCGGCCAAGGGCGGTGAGGGCTGAAAGGTCAGTCTTCCCTCTGGATATGACAGTTTTGCAGGCATCTATATGTATTGTTCTGCCAGAATTTGGCCAAGAGTTTTAAATCCTATACATCTTATTCAATAGTCCCAGTGAAGTCAATGGAACTTTTTTTTGTGAGTAAGATGAAAAGGATTTGGCCCCCAGTGTTTTTAACCCTTTAAGTAGTACGAGAGTGGTTTCATTGCACTTAGCCCATCATTCACAAATAAGTTTATATCCAAGACCAGAAGATTGGTGTTGAAGTACAGAAAGCGTCGGTTCACAAAAGAGAAAAACATGCAGCAACATCTGACTACTAACATCATTTGGGACCTGAATTCCTAAAGGGAAAAAAGAGATGCTTGCATGACAGAATTTTATCCCATATTTATCTGAGGCAAAATGATTATGTATTCAGTTCTTAAATACCTTCTTAATGGGTACCGTAGAAGCATGAAAAAACTAGCATATATATACAGACATAAATGAATTTGTCTCTTCATTGATCTGGGTGTCTAAGCAACTATAGTTATAGTATTACAATTTGGCAAAAAATTTTTTGGAGCAGAAGGATTTTTCAAAGAGCATCTTAAATACTTTTGTATGGAACACGAGATCATGACTTTGAGAAAGGAGAAATGTTGCTCTCATCCATTAGAATGTTTTTGACTAGAGGGGGCAGGACCAGTATATCTGTGTTTAAAACACAGTAATCCTACTCTGTTACACAATGCCATGCTTTCTTCTGTGACTGGATTTGAATTATTACTCATTTGAATTAGACAAGGATAACTATATGCAAATCAAATTAACCAAAACAAACTGACTGGTACTCTGATTACAGGTCTTTGTAATGCAGTGTATTCTAATAGCATGCAATACTCAGAAATTGAATTTGGGATTTAAATTTCTGCAGTCTGCAGGATGCAGATGTGGATTCTTAGAATTGGAAAACAGGATCGAGTACCATTCAGTGTAATTGCAAAGGACAGCGTGAATTACTTCATCCCTAACAAACTGTGTCATGCTCAGTACGGAGTTGTAACAAAGCTACAAAGTACTGAGTAGGAGAGTCCTTTAAATGCTTGTCTCAGCAAAGTCTGTACACACAGGCAATTTTACAGCACTTCTCTTTTGCAAATGAAATAAACTGTTGCACGTGTTGAGTGAATTGTTACCCTTTTTGTTATACTAAATCATTTTATTATCTAATTCTTCTCAAACAGAAGGATGTAAGCATGTCATACGGACAGCAGTCCTTTCGAATCAAATTCACCAGGGACTCTGTGGGCTGCATATCCCTTTGACTACACGAATACCTCCAGTGTCCATTGAGATTAGGAAAAAAGTTCTTGGAAATTAATCTGAGTTAATCTAGCCTTTGGAAAATGTGCCCAAGAGCTCCTCAAAACATAAATAGGGCTCTAGCAAAGAATTCAATAGGAGATACTTAATGATACATCAAGAAAAATGTTAGTTTGTGTGATGTTGTGCCTGCACCTGGTAAGAAAAGTGTTAAGATCTCTCGGTTACTATTAAGGAATGTCTCTTTGATTTCATCCAGTTTCCCGTGATTCGTGGCTTTCCACACATCTATCCTACGCTTAAAAGCAGTCTTCATTTAATCTTTGTTCATCACCTCACAGGGAAATTTTCTTTTTCAGAACAGTAGAGTAGGAGAGATGCTCCGTGCACTTTCTCCATCCTGAGATACCATTTAGCCCTCGGTGCCTCCTGGCATGAACTCAGTTTCCAGATTTTGTCCCTGCTGTGGCACCTCCTGGCTTCTGGCATGGACCTTCTCACAAGAGAAGACAACCCAGAGGTACATTTCTACAAAGGTGGGGTAGAGTAGGGGAAGAGGAGACACACTGGATGGCCTTCATGTCTTCCATCTGGAGCAACAGGAGAGTCTCCCTGGCATGAGGAGGAGGAGGAGGAGTTTGTCTGCTCCACGGTGTACACGGAGGCCAGGAGAGCAACGCAGCACCCAAGGAAGACCTTGGGGCTGGACATAATGCTTACAGAAGCTAATGTATTTTGTAGATTCTGGTCTTGAAAGCCATGTCACAGCATCAGATAAGAGAATTAAAGGCTCTCATGCAGAAGATAGGGATCTCTTACTAGCTTCTGAAGAAGAAAAAGTTTTGACAAATTTTCTGTGAATATCAGTGCTCCAAAAAGTAAAGTATGCACATGCTATATGCAGTTTTTTTGTATTTTTTTCCTTTTTTCCTTTTTTTTTTTTTTTGTTTCTCAAAATATAAAAAGCTTAAAAAATAACAAAACTGACCAATTTTATGTTGACATGGCACATTTCTAATTTCTGTTGAGATTTATTACTACCAACATTTGACTTTCATTTTGAGTTGAGAAAGCATTTAAAACTCAGTATTAAAAAAAGCCTCACAACAATCTTCTGAAGCAAATTTATCTCTATTTTACAGGTAAGGAAATCAAGGCACAAAGAAAGTGTGATTTGCCACAGATAACACAGTGAGTCAGTGGCAAAGTCAGGAACAGAATGAAATTCTCTCTGCAGTTATGGCTTAACTCTCTTCCTGCTAAGTAAATTCATCTTTTCCCTAATAGGTTGTTTTACAGCACATGTCTTAAAGGTCATGATAACTGGCAAATTTGCAGTGTTAATACTGTTGCAAAGTCAATTGTTTTTTTTTTTTCTGTGTAAGCTCATAAATGCTACTTAAAGGGTTAATTATACTGCTATGCTGGTAAACATTTGTACTGGTTGCTGGTTTGACCAAGATTTAAATACTGACTGGTACAGAAGAGACTGAGCTTGCTCTGGACTCCCTTGTCTTGGTGTTGGGCATGGATATAGTACAACAGGATACTCCCACAGTGGCTTCAGGCAGCTCGTCTTCCTCCGTCCACTCATTGAGATCTGGGTTATAGCACTGAATACACTTCTTATATTTTTTCTCTATCTCATTCCAGCCCCCCACTAAGTAAATTTTCCCATCCAGCATTGAAGCGCCGGCTGTGCTAACTCCAGTTTGCAGGGGTGCCACATAACTCCACTGCCCCGTGTAAGGGCTGTAACACTCCACAGGAAGGACGTCGATCCTTTCCCCTCTCCCCCCCAGCTGTGACCCACCCATGACATAGACCCTCTCCAGCAGGGACACGGCGCAGTGCCACCCCCGAGGGGTGCTAAGGCTGGACTTATCCTGCCAGCTATCATTGCTGGGGTCATACATGCACACCGAACGAGAGTAAGCATTATTGATGTACCCTCCCGTGACCAGGATCCTACCATCCACCACGGCACTGGCATGGCAGCACCGGGGCACCTCCAGGGGTGCCTTCATCTGCCACTGATTGGTTGCAGGCACGTAGCACTCCATCGAGGAGAGACAACCCTCCAAGTTGCGACCGCCCACTGCAAACAGGAGGCCATTGAACACATTCAGGCTGAAGTGGGTACGCTTCTGATTCATATTTGCCAGGTGAATCCAGGTGTTGAAACGAGGATCGTATCTACAAGGGTAAAAACAGAGAGTGTCCGTCTCACGTGCAGCTCTGGTACATTCCACAGTCCTACGTCTGTCCCCCTACTGCTGTGGTTGTTAAAATCAATCACGCTAAATCAATAATGTGCAGCTACTTTTTTAGCCCGGTAGAAGTCAATGGAATGAAACTGCCATCCCTGCTTAAATTTCCAAATACATTTAGTTCTTTGTTGGAGGAAAACGTGTTTATGCCATTCACAATCAGTATTATTTGAATAAAACAAATCTGACTCTTCTGAAAACTGAGTTTGTGTAATAAACTCTTCGTAATCAGAAAGTGATACTTTTAAAATACAGTAGAAATTGTAAAATTTTGCAATTTAAGCCTACTGAAAAGCTGTCAAAATTGATTCAGTGTTTTAAAAAGCATTGAGCAGTGATTTGTATTAGCACCTTCTTAGTACTTTCTAAATGGTGTTTCCTCCTGCCACTTCTGCCAATTAAGATTTATGTGGAGAGAACATCTTTGCTTCCTAACACTGTATCTATCTTAAAGAACATTCTTTGTCTTTGACTATTCAATAAGCAGTTGTGAAGTAGCAAATAGAAAATTACATTTCCTTAGGGCAAGGGGTTTTGTAAGGTACATTAGTAGACCCTTACATTTTTCCTGTTGCGCGCTGAGTGGATCAGTGAATGAGGAAAAGACTATGGGAGAGCAAACAATAATTGTTAGTTGTTATATATTATTATTGGTAAAACTCTGATAGCAAGTGCACATACTAATTAATTTTCATATTAATTAGCATTGCCAAAGTGAATGGCAGAAGAGGGATTGGAACACTGAGCAGACCACAAGAATTCCACCATTCCTCTGCACAACCCAGGTATGCACCAAGCACACGACTTGATAGAATTTGAGGCATAGCTCAGAGGCAGAAGCTTGGAGAGCAACAGCGTAATCTCCTTTAGGTAATATATTTTCTTCTGATAAATTAGATCACAATAGAAATGATCTAGGTAACTTCCCTTTTTCATTAATTTTATATGTTGGTGGTCCTCTTTGGGAGAAGTTATCTGAATGGAATGTTCTTTTCTGGGAGCAGAAAAGGAAGCATTGTTGGGCTGCATGTTTGTACTGTGTGTCCATAGTCTGTTACTAGACAGAAGGTGAATTTTTTCAACTCCTGCTTCAACCTGCTACGTGCCACTAACTTTTAGGCTAAGCTATTTAAAAACCATCACCATTCATTTGACTAGTACGTGTTATATTATGCACAAGTGACAGTATTTGCTATCGCTTGTGCAGTTCTTGGATGACTACAGATAAGAACTGTAAGCAGGGTATTGTTTGGAGTGTCTTGTACAAGAGACATTCAGCCTTCATTGTTTCTAAGCTCTTCATAAATCAAAAGCTAAAAGATATGAAATGCATCATGAGAGATGTTACAAATACAAGTGGCGGTGCATAGAAAGTCAGAATTGTAATATTTTTCAGAGTTTTCTGTGAGGCATCATCAGCTCTTGGAATTTAAAGTCTCATCAGATCTAATGCATTGTAGTGCTACTTCAGAACCTCCCTTATTAATTTCTCACTTCCTCACTTCTCATTGTGCATCATGGTGAAGCTATTGTGCATTTCAGTTGCACTGTTTTGTTCACTCAGAATTTAATAAAGAATAGCACCTGTAGCTCCTCCACCCCGTCTTTCCACGTGTCTGATCTGATCACGCTGCACGTCACAGTTCAGCTTGGCCTATCTCCCTGCACTGTGTGGAGTAAATAAGTATTGTTAAAAACAAACAAACAAGCAAACAAACAAAGGAGTTACCTGCAGAAATTGCTGACCGCATGCTTGGCTTGGTTCCTGGCATCATTCTGGTCTTCCCCGCCGGCCACGTAAAGAAATCCATCCATCACCGTCACGCACTGGTTAAAACTTTTAGCGGGCATTTCACTAAGCTTCTTCCATCCATTTTCAGGATCTCTGTATAAGATGTCTCTGCTGAGAGACTTCTCTGTTAGAGCAGGGCGTCCTCCGACGGTAACTAGCACTCTGAAACCTCCACGAATCCTTGTTCTTCTAGACTGAAGTGTATTCTGATGATAGGGAAGCAAATGATAGTTCATGGCATCTACCAGGAGCTTATGGCAATCTGCATCTTGCATCATTCTTGGAACAGTTTGGACATAATTGACAAGGTCTTGAGCTGAGATAGTACCAAAACGAATGTTACCTAAGAGATCAGCAGCAAACTTTACTCTTTTTTGGTCAAATTCCAGCCATTTTATTGCAATCTGGAATGCAACAATTTCAGAAGGCAACTGCAAGTCATCATCTGCAAGAAGTTCATTAATCTGATCAAAAGTAAGTTTTAAGAACTGATCTGTTTCTGAAAATTCAATGAAGTTGTCTCTAATAAATTTGTGTGCAGCTTCCTTGGTTGTTTTCAGTCCATACGTTTCTGCAATATTGGCAATGTACATACAATTCTCAACACTGATTTCTTGGGTTAGAAAATCACAGCACATCTTTACAAGGGTGTGAATCTGAAGATAAATGGCTGTGGAAATAATACTACCTATCGTATAAAGTGAGAGAGTGAGCTTTCCAGTGTAAGCGTAGGTGATAACAGTAGCCAGACCCAATGGAGATACATCATTGAGGTCTACTCTCTGAGTGGACGGATCTTTCTTTAAGATGTTGTGAAAGTAGTCACTGATTGAAGCCATCACCACCTTATGAACACTGAAAGATTTGGTTTTGGTACTGATAGTCAAGTCACAAAGGAAATTTTCTAGTCTCATTCTGCTTAGACCTTCCAAGAGGTTTGGGCTGTATGACGGGTCAGAAACTTCGGACGAGACGCAGCTGAAACCATTGCCTCCATCCAGGAGTCCATTCAATCCATTTAGTTTGCTGAGGGGGCCATCTTCCACAATGATAGTCATTTCACTGATACCTGCTGCTTTGTTCTTCTTCACGTTCTTCTTCTTAGGTGCCATGACTGCAATGAAATATTACAGCCAAGAGCTTGCTAAAAATAAATTGAAAATGTTTAGAGCTGCACTGCAGTTGTGAAATTTAATACCCGAGTGATTATGCAACAAATCTAATCGTTGTCAATACATACAAAGGCCACAAAACCAAAATACACAGGGTAGTCTATCTGCCTATTAACTGTTGTGCTCTCCTGGATGGTAATGTAGCTGCTTATCTGTAACAATGCATGTTCAAATTATGAAGAATACATCACAAGTAATTCCACAATTCCTTTTCTTTTTAATAATGAGATGAAAATAGTAATTATCGTCAACACATTCAAAGAGTTAAACTCTCTTCCTAATAAACATTAAATGAGTATGCCAGAGTGTACAGTTCTGAAATGAGCCAGGTTCTAGATCCAAAGTATAAGAAAAATATGGGCCCCTACTTCTGTTCATCCTCACTGCAGGACTAATACAGATTTACAGGTAAGCGAATTCAGAGTGTAACCAGGAAATACTGAGAGTGGGGAAATTCTTAATGAGATGGTAACATAAAAGGTAAGAAAGTGAATTACAGGTACGATCTTATGTTGATTTTGAATTTAAAATCTGTTCCAAATTGCTTCAACTTTTTATAATTTATGAGACTGATGATCTTCTATTCCCATGTCAGATTTGCAAATATCTTCTACTCACAGACCCTCTCTCTGCTTCTTGTTGTCTGTAATTTGAAATGGTTATAATGTTATTTTTAGGATTTTCTGGAGATTGAGGGAGAAGAGATGCTGTCTAACTTTTATCTGAAAAAAAGTCATGCATATTTTGAATCTGAATTACACTTATCAACTCTGGACAAGTTCCAGTTCTTGCTGAAATGAAGAGCCTGGTTTTTGTCAAACACAAGCAATGTGACCCTTAACCAGTTCTCAAAGGAGCTTCCTAAATATATATCTATGTATGCAAACACACACTGAAGGAAAGTGCTGATCTTCAGTAACAGAGTTAAAACGGAATTGCTGAGATCAGCGTTCCAATACACACAACAGGTATAACATTTATCTTTGATGCAGCCACTGATTTTAAAACATCTCGCTTAAGCTGGTTTCCTTTGTGCTCATAGCAGACAGAGCGCAAAGAAATCTAATTCACGATAAAACATTCTGGATTGTTTCAGATCAACTTAAAAGAAGTTTGACCACATTTCAATCTGAAGTCTCAGCACACTGATTTTCCCTTAAGTGCACAGCACATAAAAAAAATGGTGATTTAATTTTAGAAAGGAATGGTTGCTGCCTGTGAGTACCAGGCATTTTTTTCTTCTTCTGCTGGGTGACGACTGCGTGCAGAGCAGGAGAGGGAGAAGGCCATGTGTGCTGGAAGTGTCAGTGTCAGCGCGTGCTGACGTCAGCTGCAGTCCCCAAATGTCTGGGTGCCAGCACTGGGGTCAGCTGCTCCCCGCCTCCCCCCCTCCAGCTGCATTCCAGAAGCTGCATCTGTTGAGAGCTATCAGAGTCACCTCCAGGAATAGCAGCCTCCCAGCAGCTTGCCATTTTAAGACAGGTTCAATCGGAGGTGCATCTGGTGCTTTAGTCCACTTGGTTGTTGAATGCAACTTTTTGCAATAAAACTATGCTGTCTGCCCTGCAATGTATAATCGTTGACATAGAATAAAAGCAAAACAGAACCATTGGGTGTCTTTGGACATACTAATAGCCACAAGTTTATTGCTGGCAAGGCAATGCATTATTTTGGCAGACAGACTTGTAGTTCTACATATTTTTAGAGGCCCATAACTTAAACATTCCAATAAATACGTCACTTAATGTTTATTGCTTCACTTGTAGAGCTTATTTAAATACTGTATTCCCTGTAGACCTTATTTAAATATTCAAAGCATGTATTTAATTTGTTAAAAAGGGTCCACTCTCCAAAGTTTTTTTCCTGAAAATTACTTTTCCATCAGCAGCAATTGCACTGGCCACCTCAGTGCATAAACGCACAAGCAACAGGAGATTCAGAACCAGCGAATCGAACCAAACAAACCTGTTACAACTCCTTGTTGCTGAGCTTTGAAAGCCCTGGATAATTTTCTTTCCTATAGCTGTTTGCCTTCACCTGATTTACTTTAGATTAACAGCAACTCATGCCAAAGGACGCTGACGGTCCCCAAACAGCACACTCAAACACACGACCTTCCCCCCTTTAATACGCTATCTTCTAAACGCTATCAACGTGAGGAGTTAAAAACCCCTTACCCTCCTCAGAAATAGGTTGTGTCAGAGCTGTCCAAGACGCTGCCAGTGAAATTGACTCTTCCTAGGAAAAATGAGAAGACAAAGACAGGAAAGGTGGTAAAAAGAAGAGAGGAAGATCAGAGGCCACCTGGTAAGTCCCAGCTTGTGATTTCTACTGTGACCCTTTGCTGTCACAGCGAGCAAAAGAGACCGCAGCCTGAGCTCGAGTGCTCTTTAAAATGACCCCTCCTCTCGGTGCCTCGCTCCCTGCCTCTGCCCAGACACAGGCATTAAGTTTCCCCAGTCTGCCCAGCCTTCAGAAACCAGGGGGGCAAACGCGGACAACTGTCATGTTCAGGGTCAAGGCAGCGGGGGAAGGTGAAGATGACATATCCACACCAGGTAGTGCTCGGGCCAGGTAAGCGTAGGGAGACCATCAGATTACCCTGCTTTGGGTGCCTGGGCTCCCTGAGCACTGCTTGGCGATGGTGACATCTGAGGGTGGGCTGTGCAAAAGCCAGTGTGCTCTTGAAACAAACATCTGAAATAACCAGCGGGAAACAGAAAGAAGCTGGCACTTCAGTTCCATGTTTTGTTGCACTGGGCTGCTTACCTCTGGGCAAAGGGAAGGAAATGGACTGATGGGGGGATTCACAGTCATGTCCTGTTTATCAAGTAGGTCACTGCTCCCATGAAAGCTTGCCTTGGCTTTCAAGGATGCTGGCTCACATCTCCTGATACATTTCCACAAAGGTTTGAACTCTGAATCCTTTGAACCCATATGAACCTTATTTGTGGGTTGGAAAATACTCTGTAGTATTTTACCTTCACCTTTGGCTAGTTTGAAGCCAGGTCTCTACATCCCAGAGGAATTTCATACCATGGGAGATGGAAAGAAGAGAGAGGAAGAGATAGAAAAGGGAGAAGTGACTGCATGGGAAGGGAGAGGCATCGGGGGTGTGGAAGTCACGGAAAGAGAAGACTTCCTTTTGACTAGACTTGGTGTAATACTTCATCTGGTAGATTTGTTCGATTAGCCTCTGACTCAGATGGGCTTTTACAGCAACTGCTGCAAAATAGCACATTTAAGCAACAGGACATCTCTGTGTCAGCATAGTTACCAAGTTATAAGACAAAAAACAGAGGCAGCAGTTGGATGTTGTCAGATCAGTTCTAACAGCTCGCACTCAGACTTCCATCAATTTTTATAATTAAAGAAGTTCTGAAAAGCCAACATTTTTCAGAGAAAGAATTTCTTATCTGACATTTTTTGGTGAGCTAATTTGATAACGAGGACATTTATTCTCCAGGAAGAATACTCTGTCATGTTCTGTAGAAAAAATATATCATTCTAATTTTAATACTAGCTCTGAAAAACGTATTTGGAAACAGTAAAATAAATTCAACTCTTATTTAGTCTTTAAAATACATTTCCAATATCCCTACATGATTTGCTGCAGTAGAAATATCACACAAACTACAATGAGGAATACAATACAGCACTAAGTTCTTATTTCCAGAAAAGGCTGAACAAGCTTTGAGCTGTGCTGTGCAGGACAGAGATAACCATCATGGGGGGGCAGGCCTCAGCATTTATGTATATTAATGCTGACACAGTCAAATAAGTTCCATCGTTCTGAAACTCTGGTTGTGCCTCAGGGCAAAACCATGAGACCCTTACTCACTCAGCCTCCAGACCAGAGGCTGTTATGTAGCATCCAACCTGATCTTGGAACTGTCATTCTCATTTTCCATTCATTTGCACACACAAAGTCTCTTCAAAAGCAAATAGTAGCAGTGTTGGCTGTGGGTTGTGATGCATCTTTAAAATTCAAACTTTAAGATTTTTTTTTTTTTAATTCTCAAATATTCTTCACATTATTTCCTCGATATCTTGAAAATAATCTCTTGTCATTCTGATTATTTCTTTTCCAATGGGATAGAAATTAATTACTATACAAATAGTTTGATAATGTTCACAGAAAATGTAAATCCTGGCAAACTAGTTACGAATTATGGCCTTTTAAGAGACAGGATGGTGCATTTTGGCAGTGATGTTAAGTTTGTAAAGATATATCCTTTTAGCTATGAGTGAATGCTGGGGGGAAAAAATACTTAATTTTCTCCATAGTCAGTCGTGAGCGGCTAAGTGCAATGCTATCAATCCATGCAGCAGGTCCTGTGTTAAGATTTTAACATTCTTTAGGGGAAAAAAACCCAAAAATTTCAAGAGATTTGTTTGTAGAACAGTAAACCAGTATAATTGCTGTTATCTGCACAGACATGAACCAGAACTGGCAATAGAGAAGACTTCTAAAATAGGGACTTCTAGGCAACCCTCAAGGCAATCTTTTATACTCCATGCAGCACCACTGCTGCACGCTTTCTGGTAACTGTAAAGCCTTGTTCTTAAAGTTAGTGTGTTCTGTTCTGTTGGTGGAATGCTAGCATCACAGCTACGGCTATGTGGAGATCTGCCCTGTTCCACTATTTAGTTAGCAAAATTGTGGCTCAGCTTTAGATCCTGATTGGTTTGTTGGCTCGGAACCCTTTGCGTATATTCAGCCAAGCATTATGCTTCTCCAAAGCCCGTATTTAGATCATGACGATAAGACAGCGAGGCCGCACAGCACAGAGCAGAGCAGGACAACCCCTCCCCTCTCCCAGGGGCAGCGCTGGGCCTGGGGCACCGCAGGGTGCGTTGGCCCTTTGGGCTGCCAGGCACACTGCTGGCTTTGTCCCACTCGTCATCAACCAGAACCCCAGCTCCCTTTCCATGGGGCTGCTCTCCAGCCTCTCAGCTCCCAGTCCGTATGAATATTTGGGGTTGCTCTGTCCCAGGCACAGAATCCAGCGTTCACTCGTGTTAAACTCCATGTGGTGAGTGGCTGCAAGCCTTCCACTGTGTTGAGATCTCTCTCTGCGAGGTCTCATGGAGAATGCATCTCGCCGCGCCCCATGGCCAAGCAATCCCCGAGCCCGGCAGAGCATCCGGCGCGCAGGGAGCCCGGAGGCAGCATCGGAGCGGCCGGGCGCTCCCCCTGCGGGCCGGGCAGCGCACTGCGGCCCCGCCTCGGGACGGGAGGGCGAGGCCGGGGCGGGGAGGCACCGCCTTTGGGCTACAAGTGGGGCGAGCGGGGGAGGGACGGGGCTCTGGGCCGCGGCGATGGCGGAGGGGCGGAGCGCGGTGCGGAGCAGCGTGCGGGCGCTCAAGTCGCGTCTGAGCCGCGCGGAGGAGCCTGCGGAGGTAGCTGAGTCGAGGCTGCTGGGCCTGTTAGAGCTTGTTAGGGCGGCGTCAAGGAGAAAGGCTGAATACTGGGTACAGCGCTGCCGTGCCTGGAGCGCGCTGTGCGGCAGCGGTGCTGTCAGGTCCTGCCCTGGCTGGAGATCCAGAGCTGAGCTGCGGCGGTGCTCCGTGCTGTGTTCCTAAGGGCTTCTCGCAGTGAGAGAAGCGTTCCGGGTGCGCTCTGATGGTGCGCAGTGTGGGATCTGGTACATCCTGCGTTCATGGCCCTGGTATGGGGGAGAATAGGGCTGCTCTCCTACCTGGGAGGAATTAAGCTACCTGTGGGAGAGCAGGGCTGCTCTGTAGCTGCAGGAAGCAGATAAGGGGCACCTGCACTAAGAACGCATCCGTTCAGAGTGGTTCAGGGCCACGTGAGATGGGCCCTCCTCAGGTTTTGAGGCACGGAGAAGGAGAGAAGGCACTCCCCGTGGGAGCGATGCAGGAATCTGGCAGGCTGTTTCCTAGTGAATGTCGTTTGACAAAAGATAGTGTACTCAAAAGGGACTGTAAAGATAAGCAACCAAACCAGAACTTCTTGACGGGCTGAATTCTAGCTGAAAATAAAAAGCACGCTTTGGTGGTGGGTTGGTCGGTTTGCGGGGTGTTGGAAGCTGATGCAAGTTTGTGAAAGGACTTGGAGGCGAAGAGTGCTTAATTTGCGTTGTCCTTGGTAGGTAATAAACTTAAAAATCTTCATTACTATGTTCAAATCTACTGTGTGTGTTTATACATGTTGAAAAATGTTTTTATTAGCCACTAATGATTTGTCTTCCTAATGCTGATTCTATAAGCTTTTTCTGTCAAATGAAATACCTGTGTGCAGATGTTTGACCTTGCAGTTCTTGTGCTACAGAAATGATCAGATTTTAGTCTTTACAATTTGTTTATGATTGATAGAATCCCTAGAGTTGAAAGGTGCCTCTGAGGGCCATCTATTCCCCTGTGATGAATGGGGACACCACAGCTAGATCTGGTTGCTCAGGGCCTGATCCAGCCTCACCTTGGAAGTCTCCAGGGATGGAGCATCAGCCACAAGATGAGGTGACCTGTTCCAGTGCCTCACCAGCCTCACTGTAAAAGAATCTTTTCCTTATATCTAAACTTTAGTGTTGATAGGCAGTTCTGAACAGAAGATAGGAAGGGAGAAGAGAGAAACGATTCCAGAAGTAACTCCTTAAGGGCTTTTAAAGCACAGACAGCTTCAGAGACAAAAATGTGGATGGTCCTGGTGAGGTGGATTTGGCTCTGTAAGTGAGGAGATGCATAGTTTTTACCTTGTATGAGCTAAAAGCAAGAGCTGTGTCAGCTGGGTCTAATGGTGGTGCTGTAGCACTTCTGCAGGCCTTGGTAGAGCTGTGTCTGGTGAGATAGAAATAGCTATAAGTAACAAGGGATAAGGAGGAGGGAAGGGAGAAACTGATAACTGGAAATTGGCAGGCATGAACTGTGCTAGTAATAAAAGGTAAGTCTAGTAAGAAAACATTTGTGGCATATTTAAAGGTAAAGAGGAATGTTTTAAATAAGTGCAGAAAGATTAATAAATTAGTATCGCAGGTAGGTGTTGGTGTCACTGAATATTTCTTTCCATGCTTCTTTCTCTGATTTTGTCACTGTTCTTACTAACTACCAACTACTTGGGTATGACAGGAACCAGGAAAGATTCAGAACATCAGCTGTTCATTTTAAAAGCTTTGCAGTGTGTCAGGTTTGATGGCTACTCTGGAGAGAAAGAACTGACCAAAAAACGCGCAGAACTGGTGATTAAGATATTGAATGAGCCTTAAGAAAGTAGAGGAGTTCATCAGGTCTGGAAAAAGAAACCAAAAACAAAACTGTTTCTTTGTGCTGTTGTCCCACTGAAGACTGTGAAGCATTTTAATGAGCAGCTGTGAAATGTTGCATGTAAGGTGCAACTGGTGTAAAATTAAAGCTTGGCGCTATGATCAGTGCCA